CAGCCCGGGTTGGAGTGGGTTTCCAACCAATTGTGTAGCCTGTTGTCAACCTTTGCAACCCGAAAGACAGTTGCATCTGTCAAGTAGGAAAATTAGGTACCACGTTGTGTGGGGAGGCTAAATTAACTAATTTATGAGGCGATAAAAAAGACTCCAGCAAAGCACTCCAGCAAAAAGCATACGAGGAATGCGGAAGTACTTCATCAGTGTCGCAGATGGACGATGAAAGTGACAGCTAGCCTGGCGGCCAGAAAAAGTTAAATAGCCTCTCTGTGTATGTCTGTATATGTTTGTAAAAATTGGCATTGAACGTTTGCCATATATGTGTACACTGTAATCCGCCCTGAGTCCCCTGCAGGGTGAGAAGGGCGGAATATAAATACTGCAAATAAATAAATAAATAAATACATTTAGCAGGGGCTAATCTGTTTATGGATTTCTATTGAGAGTTTTCTGGACATTACTGCATTTGGATTTTCTGCAAGCTTTATGGACATTGCTGTTTGCTGTTTCATTTTGACTTTTTTACCTTTGGACTTCTATCTATTTTATATTCATAATTCAATAAAAAGGATTGTATTTTTCCTAAACCAAGGTATGGTGTATTAATGACAAGAGGGCCCTGTTTCCAGTGCTGGAGTGCAACAACCCCAAGCTGTGTGTTAAGAGGGTTTCAACACATCCTGAAACCCACACTGCTGCTTTCTCTTTCCTGGATCAGCACAGAAATTGCTCCTGGCCACTTCCCCAAACTCAGGCTGACTTTGGAGGAAGGAGAGGTCAGACAGGAAACCCACAAGATGCACCCCACCCCCCATGTCTCTGTGGTGGCGGCTCTTATCACACAAGGGTCCCTTCCACACATCCATATAACCCAGAATATCAAGGCAGGAAATCCCACAATATCTGCTTTGAATTGGGTTACCTTGAGTCCATACTGCCATATATTCCAGTTCAAAGCAGATAGTGTAGGATTTTATTCAGCTGTTTGGAAGGGGCCTCAACCCATCCAGCATCATTTGTGGTAGCCACGAAAATCAAGTTTCTGGAGTAGAACAACTACTTTCAAAGTAAGCTCTGTACAATTAAGTAGGAAATAACACTTTCAAACCAGGAGTACAATGTAATAGCGACCTCTTTTCTACCTTCGCTGAAGAGGCCCAATGACACCCCTTTCCCAGTTTGCAGAAGAGGTCACACAACACACGCTTCCGGCTCACCTCAAGATGCTCAAGACCAGGGGATGGTCACGATTTCATAAGCCTCGGTTTATGCAAATTGCAGCACGTCCGAGGGGCAGGAAGCGGGCGCTGATGTCACTAGCCAGGAAGCCTTCCTTCCGTCACTAGCCACAGCCCTGTGAGAAAAGCCTTGCGCCCAGAAGCCCCAGGAAAGGCACTACTTCCCACTTAGCAAGAAAACGGGCTCCGTTCCACAAAGTGTGGGGAATCCCACCCATGGAAGAGCCCCTATCGTGCCATGAGTCATGCCCAGCAAAGAGCTGCAGGCCCAGGCTGTGCAGAGGCAACCCCCGCCCATAGGCATCAATGGTAAGGCCACCATTCACGGGGCCTCACCTGGACATGCTTCCCCATTGAGGAGGACTGGTAGGTGAACAGTCCACAGGGATCAATGGGGCCACTAGCAATTACTAGCCCCCATGCAGACTCACAATGCATAGACTCATAGGAGCAGAGAGTTAGAAGAGACTTCAAGGGCCACCCAGTCCAAGCCCCCTCTTCCAGGCAGCAAGACACCATCCAATCCCTCCTGACAGATGGCCATCAAGACTCTGCCTAATGGCCTGCAAAGAGATAGACTCCATCGTCATTATCATCATCAAATAATATTGTTGTTGTTGTTACTGTTGTTATTATATAATCATGGACTTGGAAGAGGCCCCAAGGGCGACCAAATCCAAACCCCTTCTTCTAGGTAGGACACAATCAAAGCCTTCCCAACAAATGGCCATCCAGACTCTACTTAAAAACCTCCAGAGAAGGAGAATCCATCATCATGATCATCATCAATTATTATTATTTTATTTATTTATTTATTTACAGCTTTTATATTCTGCCCTTCTCACCCCGCAGGGGACTCAGGGCGGATTACAGTGTACACATATATGGCAAACATTCAATGCCAATTTTTGACATACAAACATATACAGACATAGACAGAGGCTATTTAACTTTTTCTGGCCGCCAGGGGAGCTGTCGCTTTCATTGTCCATCTGCGACGCTGATGAAGCACTTCCGCATTCCCCGCATGCTTCCCCGCTGAAATGCTTTGCTGGAGTCTTCTTTATGGCCTCATAAATCAGTTAATTTAGCCTCCCCACACTTTAAGGTGGTACCTTATTTTCCTACTTGACAGATGCAACTGTCTTTCGGGTTGCAAAGGTCGACAACAGGCTACACACAATTGGTTGGAAACCCACTCCAACCCGGGCTGGCTTCGAACTCATGACCTTTTTTTGGTCAGAGTGATCTTAATGCAGCTGACACTCAGCCAGCTGCGCCACAATCCCGAGTATTTTTTTTTGTTATTTATTTTATTATTATTATTTTAAATTGGCGCCCCCGGTGGCGCAGTGGGTTAAACCCCTGTGCCGGCAGGACTGAAGACCGACAGGTCGCAGGTTGAAATCCGGAGGGGGATGAGCTCCCTCTATTAGCTCCAGCTCCTCATGCGGGGACATGAGAGAAGCCTCCCACAAGGATGATAAAACATCAAAAATCATCCAGGCGTCCCCTGGGCAACGTCCTTGCAGACGGCCAATTCTCTCACAACAGGAGCGGTTGCTCCTGACACGACCAAAAAATAAATAAATTATTATTATTATTATTATTATTATTATTATTATTATTATCATCTACTTTAAAAGCATCTTTCAGGAGGTTTTGACTAGTGTATTCTTGCATGGCAGGGGGTTGGTCTAGAGCAGGGGTCCCCAAACTACATTAATTATGCTCACTATAGCCTGCAATGTCAATGGAGGGAGGACCATTGGTGTCTCCTGAGTGGTAGGAGCTATAGCTGTTTGTGGAGGCAAGAGTTTGTCTGTGTAAATGGACACCACAGTCACACACACACACACATATACATTTTTTACTTTTATTATGTGGATAGATAGATAGATAGATAGATAGATAGATAGTAGGGCTGGGCGGTTTCGTTCGTTAATTTCGTAATTCGTTATTAATTCGTTATTTTTTTTGATAACGAAGCGATACTGAACCATTCAGGAGCAACTAAAAAATGAAACGAATTTTTCCAATTCGTTTCGTAATTGTTTTGTAATTGTTTCGTTATTATTTCGTTATTATTTCCGTATGTCTGGTGCAAGTTTTATAGTCGTTGTTTGTTTTATCAGTGATAAAAAAATAAATTATCACACCAACAGTCAACAACAGAGGGAGAGGGAAGCTTCAGAAGTTCCCCCTGTCCCATTTGGAGGGTTTTTTAGCGTATTGCGCAATCGCGTCCGCCAGTAACGAATCGATTCGCTATTGTTTCGAAATTGTTTCATAATTTCCGAAATTTCGTAAATATCGAACTTTTTAAAAGAAAAATTTCGGAATTCTTTTAAAAAACGAAACGCAAAAAAACCCGAAAAACGAATCGAATTTAGAAACAAATTTTTCCGTGGTTGCCCAGCCCTAATAGATAGATAGATACAGTAGAGTCTCATTTATCCAACCTTCTCTCACTCAACGTTCTGTATTATCCAATGCCATCTGCCTCCCATCCAGATCCACAGCTGTTTCAATACATTGCAATGTTTTGGTACTAAATTTGTAAATACAGGAATTACTACATGACGTTGCCATGTATTGAACTGCTTTTTCTGTCAATTTGTTGTAAAATATGATGTTTTGGTATTTAATTTGTAAAACATAATGTAATTTGACATTTCCTAGGCTTTTCCTTAATCCCTCCTTATTATCCAACATCTCTGCTTATCCAACATTCTGCTGGCCCATTTATGTTGGATAAGCGAGACTCTACTGTAGATGTTTTGGTATGCAGCTTTCCCTTTACTCTATGTTTCTTGAGGTTGTGGGAGGGGCTGCAGACCACATGATCAGATCTGGGACTGCTCAGAGCTCAGACTCCATTTTAGACTTCAGACTCCATGAGACTCTGGACTATTAAGAGCAAACTTATTTTGCTGTTTTTTGTAAGAAAGATGCCCTGTGTTATCTGCACAGAGAAATGACTTCAAATCCTATCTGTAACTGGATTGACAAGTTATGTACCTGTATGCTGAATACATGAAGGTTGTGAGTAAACCAGATATGTTCCTTTTAACAAAGTCGACTTTATTTTTGTCTCTTGAGAGCATGATATAGAAACAAGATGTATTATGGGAGCAAAGATGTTTTTGGAAACTGAAAAGAACACTTTTGAAAAACTTCTATATTTTGTGCATTGGCATAATCACTGTTCCTAACAGATCAGAGACAACTAGGTTATCAGTCTAACAACTGAAAAACCAAATTGCCTTGCATAAGTACATGTGGATGATATACACCATTGAAGAAAATACTTTACTCAAATGAATTTTTGCCTCTTCTCTGGAAGATCATCCTTTTACAAAAGGTTATGATTTCCAGATGGTTGTGAATGCCATTTTTCTCTGAAAGGCTATGGCAATAGTGGTTTTCCAAATCATCATGCCTTTCCAAAAGCTCTTGCACACAAGGGAAAGCCACTGGGAAGCCTTAGGTGGTGCCACCGGGGACTCCAAAATGTGCCATCTCCAACCAAAGATCAAACCCATGCCTGCCTTTTACATATCCAGGGGTTTGCTCACTTTTGCTCAGAGTGACGACTGACAAAAAATTCAGCGTTTTCACAATCGGCGAGTTCTGCAACATGACCACTTCCCATTCCTGAAAGTATTTCCTCCGCTTTTGAAACCCACAGGTGCCAAAGGGAAATTCTGGCCATGACGCCACAGCGGGCGATGAGAACATAAAACAGTGCCGCCAGGGCAGCAGAGACACATTCTCAGCCAACGACGAGGACGAGAGCAGTCTGAAGAAGGGCTCTTTCCTGTAAAGACACACCATCCAGACAGGTACCAATGCGTAGCGATGTGTGCGTGAATTGCTTGCTTGCAAAGTTGTATTTATGGCGGCCTTTTTCAATTACAGAAAAATTCAAATGACACATTGAGAGGCAGTGGGGGACCTCAAGTGACTTGTGGATGATGGGACCCCGTGCATTGGCTAGGGTTTCTTCTGCAAAGACAAGCCAGAGGTGGTCTCCCATCCAAGCATTAACGAAGACCAGCTTCCAAGACCAGAAGCAGCTGGGGGTGCCTTGAGGGTATCTCGGTCCAGAGATACGTTGTTGTTGTTGTTGTTGTTACTCCTACTGGCTGTTAGGAATTCTGGTAGTTGGAGTCCAAAACACCTGGAGGGCCCAAGTTTTCTTATGCCTGCTCTAAGGAGAACAAACAACCAGGCCTTGGAAAAGAATCTCAAGTCTTCCAAACCACTCTCTTTACAGAATATCAGGATAGGCATGTTCACACTGAGCTGGCAGGCTCACTTTTCCACCAACCTGAGCACTGAACTCCTTGGAATGAAAACCTTGCTTCAAACCAGGGGCAATGAGGCTATGTTGTGGGCATGCCTGCTTTGGCACACCTCCGTTGATAAGTCGGTTGACACTGAGCTGGAGAAACCCAGCACTCAGTGTTGGGCTTGCAGAAGTGTCTATGTCATTGACAATGCAGCAAGGGATTTGGCTTTTGTTGGATCTACTAGAGCTGCAACCACTTCCAAATTCCCCCAAGGACTTTGGTAAAGAAAGGAACTGCTTGGCTGTTTTCGGTCTTGCATTTGTCTTCCCGCAAGAAAGCCTATGAATGAACTTGTTCTCTCTGCTAGGGTGCTGAAGCAACTCCCAGAGATTGATTATGATGATGATGATGATGATGATGATGATGATAATGATAATGATAATGATAATAATAATAATAATAATAATAATAATAATAATAATAATAATGTATCGTTGAAGGCTTTCATGGCCGGAATCACTGGGTTGTTGTAGGTTTTTTCAGGCTATATGGCCATGTTCTAGAGGCATTCCTCCTGACGTTTCGCCTGCATCTATGGCAAGCATCCTCAGAGGTAGTGAGGTCTGTTGGAACTAGGAAAAGGTTTATATATCTGTGGAATGACCAGGGTGGGGCAAAGGACTCTTGTCTGTTGGAGCTAGGTGTGAATGTTTCAAATTTTTAGAGTTTTTCAATACTGCATACTTTCATTGTTACCCCCACTCCCCCCTCCTCTTTTTAATTTTTTAATTTTTCTTTTTCCTCCACTCCCTTGTTTCAATACAATCATGAAAATTAATAAAAATTATTTTTAAAAAAATCTCTAAAATTACAACAGCAAAAGAACAGAGAGGAAACAAACAAGGACATCTAATCACCTCTCAACAAAAGATTGCCCCAGGCACTGCCAGGTCATCAATGCTAATCAAGGTAGTCAGTTGAAACATTCACACCTACCTCCAATAGACAAGAGTCCTTTGCCCCACCCTGGTCATTCCACAGATATATAAACCCTTTTTCCTAGTTCCAACAGACCTCACTTCCTCTGAGGATGCTTGCCATAGATGCAGGTAAAACGTCAGGAGAGAATGCCTCTAGAACATGGCCATATAGCCCGAAAAAACCTACAACAACCCAATAATAATGATAACAACAACAACAACAACACCTTGTTTATATTCCGCCCTATCTCCCCAAGGGGACTCAGAGCAGATTACAGCATATACAAAAAGAAGCACAGGCAAACATTCAATGCCTTAGTACAATGAGACAGAAATTTAAAGACAAATTTCCGGCTTGTGGAGACAGTGGTCAGCTCCAGCTCTGGGGAAGGTGTTCATCTCCATTTCCAGGCCAAGGAGCCTGCGTTGTCCATGGACACCTCCTGGTCATGTGGCTGGCATGATTGCTTGGAGCTCCTCTTTGCCTTCCTGCTGAGGCAGTACCTATTGATCTACTCACATTTGCATGTTTTCGAACTGCTAGGTTGGCAGGAGTTGGGGCTAACAGCAGGAGCTCATCCTGCCCCACAGATTCAAACTGCCAAACTTCAGTTCAGCAGTTCAGCAGCACAAGGGTTTAACCCATTGCGCCACCACAGCCCCTTTTGTCTATATTAGTGCTAATATTGAGTCTATATTTTGAATCTATATAAGTGCTATATGTTTTCTATGAGCTGCACTGTTGGCAGGTGGGCTTCCTGGAGCCCGACCACAAGGAATTTGGTTACACTCAACACTGTGCCCAGCTCCCAGTCAGTGGTCTGTCAATGGGAGAGTGGTGAGGCCTCTCCAGGTTTTGCCCAGAACGTCAAAGTGCTGGCCACAGTGCTGAACCTTATCCTCAACGTTGGTTTTGAGGGCATCACTTCAGCCACCAAAAACACGGCATGCTTAACTGTGAAATATCATTGGCCTGATGGACCTTCTCCTTTCTGCCTCCTAGATCAAGCCATGGCCAGAGTCCCCGAGTTCCAAGACGAGATCATGGATTTTTGCAGGTAAGCCTTGCTTTCTTAATATCTAAGATGGCAGACTTCTTAATGTACCCACTCCCTCTCCCAGCATCCAGGATTCTGTCAATATCTAAGGTGGCCAACTTATTAATGTATCCCTCCTCCCAATATCCAGGATGGCCTCCCTCCATTCTACCAATGTCCAAGATGACTGACTTATTAATGTATTCCTCCTCCCAATATCAAAGATGGCCACCCTTTCAAATAGTTTTAGACCAAAAACAGGCAACAGCAACTGCATTTTCTGTAGCTTGAAACAGTTCTTCCTCTGTGCATGAGGCAGAGCATTGTGAGCAAGCATACAGGTGTGGAGTTGTTTGCTCTGCTCCACAGTCACGCCAGTTGGAGGGTTCTTCTAGGTCATGCCATTTTGCTAGGTTGCCTTTTAATGATGATGATGATCTTTATTTATACCCTGCCACCATCTCCTCAAAGGGAACTTGGGGCAGCAAAAGACCAAGCACAAAATTACAGCAAAATAAAATAAAATACAAACAGCAAATAATAACATCAAAATAAAACACATAAATTAACAGAAAATGCGATAAACAGATGCAAAATAACGTGATGAAGAAGTAAAATAAAAGCACGGTGGGCAGGCCAAATGTACAGAATAAGATTGATAAAACCCTGGGTGAGATAAATAAATGGAGAAGTATGCGTCTTTGGATCTGCCCGCTCTGCTTCTGAGTCTGTTCAGGGACTTCCAAGTTGCCCATTCTAGGTTTGCCCTTGGAGGAAAACCGTCATGGGGGCGATCCAGTTGGGATTTCCTGGTTTAGCTACCCAGAGGGATATTCTTGCTGTTCCTAGGGGAAAATTAAGAGGAGTGATGGTTCTCATGAAACTTTTCCTTGATTTGAGTCTACTGGGAGGAGGCTGATAGCCATGCAATGGGTGGCTTTCACAGTGTTCGACCTTATTTTTCTCGCAATTGGTAGTAACTTCCCGTTGCACATCGGGGGGGGGGGGGTGGCAATGTCAGCTAGCTTGTAGAATCTATCAACAGACATCCTGTAGTTCTTCTACATGTCTCATTTGTGCCGTAATGTAAAATAAACCATGTGTAGCTCACATTTGAGTAGCTCACACACTGCCTTGCTAGAGAAAGAAAATATGCCTCACAGGAGAACAATAAAGAAAAAGTAGTTTACTCTTTGTAGTTCAGAACAACATATGTACAATGTGGTCAGTTGCATCAACTCACATAAAGTGCTTTCATGAGAGATTTAAAATAGTCTTTTGTCTGTGTAGATAAACTCCTTTATCAACTCATGTAGCAAGACCACACTCCAAATTCTGTCTCTCTCTGCTTCTTTCTTCAGACTGTCACTCTCTGCATCTGCATAGCTCAAGACTGAACAAAAATGTAACAGTGTCCAAAAGTCCTAGGCTCAGCTATCATCCTGGGCATTGCCCAACCAATTGGATTCATGCATCTTATTTTACAGTTAACACACACACATTAGCTGATTCCTTGCATGTTTCAACATCATTCAATGCTATATTCACCTGCTTCGCATGGGCAGATTTATGCCAAATGGGGCAGGCATACTCGGCAGTTGAGTACAACAAAGCCAGGGCTGATGTTCTTATTAATTTTGGGTCTGCACCCCATGTGATGCCAGTAAGTTTCCGCAGAATGTTATTGCGTGCTGCTACTTTGTGCTTGGTGTTTGCACACTGTTTCCTAAATGTTAATATACTGCAATTTTTTTAAAAAATTAATCTCTCTGACCTTTGCTTTTCTTCCTTTAACTGCAGCATGAATGAGGTTGAGTTCTACGTAGAGGTCCGGCCGGCTTCCACCAAGGTGAGGACCCCCCCCCCCTCCTACTTGTACCCTCCTTCCTGGGCAAGCATAGGCCAACTTCAGCCCTCCCTCCAAGTGTTTTGGACTTCCACAATTCCTAACAGCCTACCGGCTGTTAAGAATTGTGGGAGTTGAAGTCCAAAACACCTGGAGGGAGGGCCGAAGTTGGCCCATGCTTGCTATAGAGATGGCATAGTGATGGCAGTGAAGTGGCTTTGCAGGGAAAGCGTGGGAAGCCTTATCAGGAGGCTGCAGCCGTGTCTGTCCTTCCGTCTCAGGGCTCCTTCCTAGAAAAGCAAAGGCACCAAGCTTCCCAGGAATGCGAGCTGGGCATCCAGGTGGAGATCTGCAAGCAGGCTTCGGCCAAGGGCTTTCGGAAAGCAGCAATCATTGTGGTGGCCCTCGAGAGGATGAGGAAGCATTCACCGGCCAGGTTTTTCTCCGACGAAGACCTGATGGACATCTTGAGCACCGTCTTAGGTAGAGTACGGAGCGCATGCCAGGAGGCAGCCTCTCTCATTTTTCCTATGCAACACTATTTTTGTTCCTGGGTTATCAATGTCATTTCCTAATTGGTTCTATCTTCTGCGGGAAGGACATCCTGCAGAACATTTTGCTCTAGCCTTTCAATGAATATATCTCATAGAGTCCCAACCAATCTAACATAATTTGGAACACAAAAACGAAATTTCTGGAGCATAACAACTACTTTCAAAGCAAGATCCGCACAATTAAACAGGAAATAATACTTTCAAACATAGTGCTATCAATGCGTCAAACTAAGTACTGATAGCTGCTGTTGGTGTGCAAGAGTGATCCATGGACATTGGGAAAGATTTGTCCTCTAGGGTTGTGCATTCAGGATAAACTTTGACCCGTTTTGTGTCCCAGTTTTCGGTGGGGGCCCTGATCTATTTTTTAGGAGCCTCCCGAAATCAGGAGGGCAGTTATGCCAAAATCCATTTTCTATCGGACCATTAAGCTCCCCAGACTCCCCTTCCCATCGTTTTAGGCATTTGAGCTCTACTCTAGAGGAGAGGTGCTCAGCTGCAGGCAGGTGCACGCTTTAAGGAGACTTCTGTTTGTATCTGTTTCTTACTCTAGAGGAGGAACTCAGTTGCAGGCAGGAACATGTGCTTTCTGGGCCTGCACATGATACGCACTTTCCAAAGCAAGGAGGCAAGTTTAATCTAGAGGAGGCACTTGGCTGCAGGCAAGCATATGCACTTTCTGAGCCTGCACACCATACACACTTTTCAAAGCAAGGAGGCAAGCTTACTCTAGAGGAGGCACTCAGTTGCAGGCAGGCACATGTGCTTTCTGGGCCTGCATGCCATAAGCACTTTCTAAAGCAAGGAGGCAAGTTTACTCCAGAGGAGGTGCTCAGCTGCAGGCAGGCGCACGTGCTTTCTGGGCCTACACAGCACAAACACGCTCTTTCCAAGGCAAGGAAGCTGCACACAAAAATCAGGCAAGGAGCTGGGATCAGCTCTCGCTTGCTTTTGCCGAGCTGATTTTTGTACTAGGAGGGGCTTTCCCATTTCGTGCTCCCGAAGGTAACTAAAGTAACGAAAGAACGGATGAAACGAAGGAAAACATTTCCGTGCACAACCCTATTGCCCTCCTCTTCCATCTCCTTTCCCCCTTCTTTTACATAGGAAATGTTATATTGGTTAAAAGAACATTTTTTAAAAACATAAATTTTAATTTCTAAAGCATACATACTGTATATTCTGGCATATAAGACTACTTTCTAACCCAAGAAAATCTTCTCAAAAGTCAGGGGTCGTCTTATACGCGGGGGTCATCTTATATGCTGGAGTAGCCTTATGCATGGGAGTCATCTAATATGCAGGAGTAGTCTTATACGCCAGGAGTCGTCTTATAGAGTGGGTGCTGAAACTTCCAATCCAGATTAGAGAATCTGTGGTTGCTGCATATTGTTGGGGGAGCTCAAAAATGGCAGTGGCCGTGTCCCTGCCGTATGCAGCAACTGTATGAAAGCATTAAGGGCGACACTGTACAAGTACGGTAGAAGAAAATCCATTAATCAGGATTCGTGGACTGAATACAGTCCTGATGTTGAGGTGAAGGGGCACCGCGGGAAGGTGTAAGTAAAGGGTGGAGCAAGCTGCAGGCAGCCAGGATGCCCATGGTATGGAAAAAAGTGATAGAGTGGCTCTGGGCCCAGAAAAACACACCTCTTTTACCTGTCTGGCCCGCCCTTGTATCCTATTACCGTACCTCCTCCTCTGCCACTCAGATCTCGCTCCTGAAAACTGCAGTGAAGTGGTGCAGGTGCGCATGTGCGAGATCTGAGAGGCAGAGGAGGCACAGTAATAGGAAAATTACCATAATGAAATCAAATCTGATGCTTTTAAAAATTTTATTTGATGTGTGTTGGAAGAGGGGTAGTCTTATACGCCAAACTCTATATTTTAACTGGAAAAGTTGGGGGTCGTCTTATACGCCCCGTCGTCTTATATGCCGGAATATACAGTACTTTAACTATTGGTATATAAATTATTATTATTATTATTATTATTATTACTATTATTATTATTATTATTTATGACATTTATATGCCGCCCTTGTCACCCCGGAGCAGACTCAGAGCAGCTTATAAGTCATATGTAAATACAATACATTATATTATTACCATAGCACAATGTTCGTATTATATATTACTATATTGTACTATACCATTATACTGTAGTATTATTAGTAATGTTACATGTAATATAAAATATATAATTATAATATCATTTTATTAGTAGGAGTATATTGTATTACATTATAATATTATCAATATTATATATTACATTATAATAATTATAATAATAATAATTTACTAGCTGTCCCCGGCCATGCGCTGCTGTGGCCCAGTCTGTTGGTCTGAAAAATAAAGATGTGGAGAGTGTCCGGTTTTCCCACCCTGGAACATGCAACATATCATTGTCCTTCTTAAAGGGTCCCTTTCAAATCTATGATACTATATCTTTGTGTGTGTGAATCATATCTATCTATCTATATCTATGGCTGGATGGTTCTTTGTCAGGGGGGCTTTGATTATGTTTTCTTGCCCTGGTGAAGGGAATTGGACTGAGTATTGAGTGCTTGTGCCAAGTTTGGACCAGATCCATCATTGTTTGAGTCCACAGTGCTCTCTGGGTGTAGGTGAACTACAACTCCAAACTCAAGGTCAATGCCCACCAAACCCTTCCAGTATTTTCTGTTGGTCATGGGAGTTCTGTGTGCCAAGTTTGGTTCAATTCCATCATTGGTGGAGTTCAGAATGCTCTTTGATTGTAGGTGAACTGTGAATCCCAGCAACTACAACTCCCAAATGACAAAATCATAATATTTTGAGTGATGGTCACTCCTTGTGTTGTGAGACGTTTTGTTGCCAAATTTGGTGTGATTTTGTTCATTGGTTCTTTTGTTTTTAAGGAACTCATTATGCACAGAGCATTTATATATAGAGAGATTTATATACTGCCCTATCTCCCCAAAGGGACTCAGGGCGGTTTACAGACACAAGAACAAAGTGGCAAAGATTCATTGCCAAAACGATCAAACAACATCAAAACATCAAACAACAATAAGTTGACTGGAGATGCTGCGGCCTTGAGGAGGGCAATGGTGAGGCCCTCCTGAGCCTGTTGCTTCCAGGCCGGCCTTGAGGAGAGTGATGGCAAGACCTTCCTGGGCCTAGTGGTGCTGTGACGGCCTTGAGGAGGGCTATGGCGAGACCCTCCTGGGCCTGTTGTTGCAGGCCAGCCTTGAGGAGGTCGATGGCAAGGCTTTCCTGGACCTGTCGGTGCTGTGGCTGCCTTGAGGAGCGCGATGGTGAGGCCCTCCTTGTCCTGTTCCTGCCAGGCCGGCCTTGACCCCAATTAGCAGTAATAATATTAGACTCTCTAATAATAGTAAAGTATGTGTATCCTGTTGGAAAGAAAGCATCCCAACCCTACACCAGGATGGAGTCTTATAATACTGAAAATACTTAGCTCTTAACAAGCAATGTCCTCAAGCTAACTTGGGGACCTTGGACAATGGACCGTAGATGATGGGACTTGCAGTACCTTCACTCACTTCCTTATTATTTATATATTTATTTGCAGCATTTATATTCCGCCCTTCTCACCCCGCAGGGCACTCAGGGCGGATTACAGTGTACACCAGTGTTGCTCAACCTTCCTAATGCCGCGACCCCTTAGTACAGGGCCTCATGTTGTGGTGACCCCCAACCATAAAATTATTTTCGTTGCTACTTCATAACTGTCATTTTGCTACTGTTATGAGTCATCACGTAAACATCTGATATGCAAGATGTATTTTCATTCACTGGACCAAATTTGGCACACCTGATATGCCCACATTTGAATGCTGGTGGGGTTGGGGTGCAGTGATTTTTTCATTAGGGAGTTGTAGTTGCTGGAATGTATAGTTCACCTATAATCAAAGAGTATTCTGAACTCCGCCAATGATGGAATTGAACCAGTCTTGGCACACAGAACTCCCCTGACCAACAGAAAATACTAGAAGGGTTTGGTGGGCATTGACCTTGAGTTTGGGAGTTGTAGTTCACCTACATCCAGAGACTCAAGCTAGGATGGATCTGGACCAAACTTGGCACGAATACTCAATATGCCCAAATGTGGACACTGGTGGAGTGGGGGAAATGTGGACACTGGGGAAAATAACATTTGGGGGGTGTCATCTCTGGGATTTATAGTTCACCTACAATCAAAGAGCATTCTGAACCCCACCAACGCTAGAATTGGGCCAAACTTCCCACACAGAACTCCCAAGACCGACAAAAAATACTGTGTTTTCTGATGGTCTTTGGGGACCCCCCTGACACCCCCTCGTGACCCCCCCAGGGGTCCCGACCCCCAGGTTGAGAAACACTGGTGTACACATATATGGCAAACATTCAATGCCAATTTTGACATACAACATATACAGACATACACAGAGGCTATTTAACTTTTTCTGGCCGCCAGGGGAGCTGTCGCTTTCATCGTCCATCTGCGACACTGATGAAGTACTTCCGCATTCCCCGCATGCTTTTTGCTGAAGTGCTTGCTGGAGTCCTTTCTTTATGACCTCATAAATCAGTTAATTTAGCCTCCCCACACTTTAAAGGTGGTACCTAATTTTCCTACTTGACAGATGCAACTGTCTTTCGGGTTGCAAAGGTCGACAACAGGCTACACACAATTGGTTGGAAACCCACTCAAACCTGGGCTGGCTTCGAACTCATGACCTTTTGGTCAGAGTGATCTTAATGCAGCTGACATTCAGCCAGCTGCGCCACTATCCTGGTGCCTTACTGAAAATGGATTAAATCACTGGGTTGCAGTGGTCACCTTAGACCACTGCAAACCACACCAATGACAGATCAAGACCAAACTTGGCACACAGAGCCCCCATGGCTCTGAGTCCTCTTGGGGAGATAGAGCCGAATATAAATAAAGCATATTATTGTTAAATTAAAACCAGCAGGCACAGTAATGCCCTAAATGGATAATAGTTGCTCACAGGACCTATGTCTCTTTCCCAGAACCCATAGACGTCGACACCTGCAGCGTCACCTACGCCACTGACTCCACCTACCAGTTCTCTGAGGACGTTTCCTACGACATCCAGGACATCGAGCAGAAGTCCCTCGTCCTCTGCGAGGCGCCCACCGAGCTGGTGGCCCTGCACCTCCAGGGCCCCAACATCAACCAAGCAGGTAAAGCCTCCAAGGGCCCGGGTCACCCTCTCTGTTGCCCTTCTGAGCCAGTCCTGGCCCATCCCAGGGCCACTTGTCAGGAATACGTTTTGAGCCTCAAAAATATGATTTAATCCATATTCAGTAAGGCAGAGTTCAGAGAAAGAAGTAGAGCAGTGCTTCTCAACCTTCCTAATACAGTTCCTCGTGTTGTGGTGACCCCCAACCATAAAATTATTTTCGTGGCTACTTCAAAACTGTCATTTTGCTACTGTTATGCATCTCCATGTAAATATCTGATACGCAGGATGTATTTCCATTCACTGGACCAAATTTGGAACAAATACCCAATATGCCCAAATTTCAGTACTGGTGGGGTTGGGCATTGATTTTGTTGTTTGGGAGTTGTAGTTGCTGGGATTTATATTTCACCTACAATCAAAGAGCATTCTGAACTCCACCAATGATGGAATTGAACCAAGCTTCCCACACAGAACTCCCATGAACAACAGAAAATACTGGAAGGGTTTGGTGGGCATTGACCTTGAGTTTTGGAGTTGTAGTTCATCTACATCCAGAGAGCCCTGTGGACTCAGACAATAATAGACCTGGACCAAACTTGGCACAAATACTCAGTATGCCCAAATGTAAACACTGGTGGAGTTTGGGGAAAATAGAGCTTGACTTTTGGGAGTTGTATTTGCTGGGATTTATAGTTCACCTACAATCAAAGAGCATTCTGAATCCCACCAACAATACAATTGGGCCAACTTTCTTCCCACACAGAACCCCCATGACCAACAGAAAATAATGTGTTTTCGATAGTCTTTGGAGACCCCTCTGACACCCCCCCTCATGACTCCCCCAGGGATCCCGACCCCTAGATTGAGAAACGCTGATGTAGACACACAGACCTAGTCCTATATTATATAATACCTATTAGGGATGTGCGATCCATTAACAAAATGGTTGAAAATCATTACAAAACTGGGGAGAGGGGGCACTGGCATTTCGTTTCTAAATTGTTTAAAATATATACGTAGTGAAAAATTTGTTACTATTTCATTATGGTAATTGCGCATAATTACTATAATTGGGGAAACGTCAAGGGCTCCTAGCACTCATTTTTACAGCTATTGGGGTGAAACCCGTCTCCTTCATAATTCCATTTTCTAAGGTTTCACCTGGAGGATGGTGCCTTCAGCTTTGCCATCTATATAAATAAAAATGTAATGTTCGTTTGTGGGATTAACATAACTCAAAAACCACTGGACGAATTGCCACCAAATTTGGACACAATACATTTACTACCCCAAGGAGTGACCATCACTCAAAAAGCATAAATTTTGTCATTTGGGATTTGTAGTTGCTGGGATTTACAGTTCACCTACAATCAAAGAGCATTCTGAACCCCACCAACGATGGAATTGAACCAAACTTGGCATATAGGACTCCCACAACCAACAGAAAATTCTGGAAGGGTTTGGTGGGCATAGACCTTGAGTTTGGGAGTTTTAGTTCACCTACATCCAGAGAGCACTGTGGACTCAAACAATGAAGGATCTAGACCAAACTTGCCACAAATACTCCATATGCCCAAATGTGAACACTGGTGGAGTTTGGGGGAAATAGACCTTGACATTTGGTAGTTGTCGTTGCTGGGATTTATAGTTCACCTACAATCAAAGAGCATTCAGAATCCCACCAGCAATAGAACTGGGTCAAACCTCCCACACAGAAAGTCGGGACCCCTGGGGGGAGGTCATGAGGAGGTGTCAGAAGGGCTGCCAAAGACCACCAGACTGGGCCACAGCAACGCGTAGCAAGGGACAGCCATAATAAGCCCTTAGCCAGACCCCAGTTGTGGCAAGTTCATTCAATCCACTCATCACACACTCCAACCATTTCCCTGTCTTCTCCAGTGAGGCTAAAGATGTCCATCTACCGACCCAAGAGGGAGGCTGGCTCCACCAAGACCCCCGTCACTCTCAACATCAAGGGAAAGAAGCTCTACCTGTCCTGTGTGCTGAAAGGGGAGGAGCCCGTCCTGCAGCTGGAGGTGAGCAGTTTTCCTCTGGCCCCGTTTGGAAAGGCCGGATTATTGTATTATCTAATGCACCACCGAATCTCATGTGCACCTCCATTTTCAAAACGCTGAATCCTAAGAAAGTATTTGGTGCCAAATGTCACGCACGATGGCAAAAGAGGAGGCTTTTCTTTATAGTAAAATAACATGATTGCACTATTTACAAGAACAAGGTTTCCATGACACAAATAAAGTTCTTTATACTTTCTTCTTTGTGGCCATGCTGGGCTTCTTTCTCATGCAGATAAACAGCTTCGCTCTCACAGAGCCTCTTCTCACACCAAGCTTCACACAGTAGCTGATGCACACAGCAGCCTTCACACTGGAGCTTCATGCACAATGGCCTTCAACCTGGGGCTTCTCTCACCAAAGCTTCTCACACCTACTCATACTGAGGCCTACTAACACTGAGGCCTAGCTCACACTGTGAGGCCTTTCTCCCACTGAGGTGAACTAACACTGAGGCCTACTCATACTGAGGTCTTCTAACACTGAGGCCTACTTCACACTGATGGCTTTCTCCCACTGAGACCTTCTCACACTGAGGGCTCTCTCACACTGAGGCAACTCTCACACTGAGGCAAACTAACACTGAGGCCTGACTAACACACTGAGGCCTGAGGCACCTGCTTATATTGAACTGCAGCTTTTGCTGAGTCATTGCATCCATTTAACCCTTTCAGTGCTTGACCCACATATTTGTAATTAAAAATGCCTAGTTACCTAGTAACCCAAAGTGATAAAAAGAATAAAAACATACAGACCAATGTTATATCTTCCATACGAAGCTTAGTAAAATAATATGCTTGCACTATTTACAACAGGGGTCTTCAAACTAAGGCCTGGGGGCCGGATACAGCCCTCCATGGTCATTTACCCGGCCCTCATTCAGGGTCAACATAAGTCTGAAATGATTTGAAAGCACACAACAACAACAACAATCCTATGTCATCAGCCAAAAGCAGGTCCACACTTCACATTGAAATACTAATAAGTTTTAAATTGTTCTTCATTTTAATTGTTGTATTGTTTTAAAGTGGTTTTTTGCACTACAAATAAGATATGTGAAGTGTGCATAGGAATTCATTCATTTTTTTTTTTCAAATTATAATCTGGCCCTCCAACAGTTTGAGGGACTGTGACCTGGCCCTCTGTTTAAAAAGTTTGAGGACCCCTGATTTACAAGAACAAGGTTTCCATAATATGAACAAAGTCCTTTGTACTTCCTTCTTTGCTTCCACGCTGGGCTTCTTTCTTATGCAGATAAACAGCTTCACTCTTACAGAGCCTCTTCTCACACTGAACTTACACAGGAGCTTCACACAATAGCTTTACACACAGCAACCTTCACACACTGGAGCTTCACACACGAGGCTTTACTACCTGGGGCTTCTCTCACAAGCTTCTCACACTCTGAGGCCTTCTCACATACTAAGGCTTACCTCACACTGTGAGGCCTTCTCACAGACTGAGACCTTTCTCCCACTAAGGTTTACCTCAGACTGACGGCTACTAAAATACAGGCACACTTGCTTATATTGAACTGCAGCTTTTGCTGAGTCATTGCATCCATTTAACCTTTTTCAGTGCTTGACTCATATGTTTGTAATTAAAAATGCTTAGTTGCCTAGTAGCCTAAAGTGATAAAAAGAACAAAACCACAGAGACCAATGTTATCTCTTCCATAGGAGGATTTCTTAGTAGTAAAATAATATGGTTACATTATTTACAAGAACAAGGTTTCCATAATATGAACGAAGTCCTTTATACTTCCTTCTTTGCTTCCACGCTGGGCTTCTTTCTGATGCAGATAAACAGCTTCACTTCTCGCACTGAACTTACACAGGAGCTTCGCACAGGAGCTTTAGACACAGCAGCCTTCACACACTGGACCTTTACACGTGAGGCTTTACAACCTAACCTGGGGCTTCTCTCACAAGCTTCTCACACTCTGAGGCCTTCTCACAGACTAAGGCTTACCTCACACTGTGAGGCCTTCTCACAGACTGAGACCTTTCTCCCACTAAGGTTTACCTCAGACTGACGGCTACTAAAATACAGGCACATCTGCTTATATTGAACTGCAGCTTTTGCTGAGTCAATGCATCCATTTAAATGATGTTATTTTAATTGCTTTTGTTGTGTTTTATACGGTTTTAATCTGTATTATGATTTTTTTATGTGTACTGATTTGCTGGAAACTGCCTTGAGTCACTGATTGGCTGAGAAAGGCGGTTTACAAATACAGTAAACAAATAAATAAAATAAAATAAATAAATAAATAAATATAAATAACCCTTTCAGTGCTTGATTCACATTTTTGCAATTAAAAATACCTACCGGTAGTTAATTTTTAATATTCGTGACAATTTATTCATCACAATTGTAACTCCTTTTCTCTTCTTCATTTCCTTCTGCAGGAGGCCAACCTTCAAGGCAACCTGGACACCTCCAAACTGGGCCGTTTCCTCTTCTACAGGGTCACCGGGGACCACACTCGCTTTGAGTCAGCCGCCTTCCCCAACTGGTTCATCTGCACCTCCCCCAGGAACAATGAGCTTGTGACCATCACCAACCGCCCCGGGGAGGCCCTCATTGTGGACTATGACCTCACCCGCTAGGGGGTGATTTTTGGCCTCTTGGACAGGAAACGGGCTCCATCTTCCATGTGTTCCGGATCTTGGATGCTCTTGGGTTCCAGATGGGCCTCCTATATGCCAAGAAGTATACTGTTATCTCTGTGAGACCGAAGAAGCCCCGTCTATGATGGAAACCAACTCCACCAAAATTGGTTCTTCCTGCCCACCAAGCGCCTTGCAGTTTGGGCCACCCCCCACCCAGGATCTAGGGTTCCCTATGGAACAGGCCTGGGCCAACTTGGGCCCTCCCTCCAGGTGTTTTGGACTCCAACTCCCACAATTCCTAACAGCCGTCAGCTGTTAGGAATTGTGGGAGTTGGAGTCCAAAACACCTGGAGGGAGGGCCCAAGTTGGCCCAGGCCTGCTATGGAATCATCTGCACAAAGCCACTCCCCCCCATAGCGGTTTGAAACTGACTTCAATGCTCAGTGTAGATGGAGACAAAGAAGACCCCCCTCTCCCTTCCCTAAGACCCCCTTCTGGGGTCCCTTCCAGGCGAGCCTTATATCCCAGGATCTGATTCCAGGTGGTCTGTTTATCCTAGATTATCTGGCAGTGTAGACTCATATAATCCAGTTCAAAGTAGATAATCTGGGATCAGATCCTGGGATAGAAGGCAGCATAGATTCAGTTTAGATCTTGCAGTTGTGGTGCCTGGGAGGGAAACACCTGCACGGTTGTGCCATTCCTTTCCAGGTTATTGAAACAGGTTATTGTTATTGTTGTTGTTCATATTGTTATTATTTAATGCAAGTATTTATTACTAATTTAATAATTATTCCCCCCCCCCCAAGTTTGTACTCATGAGAATAAACTCCTGCACCCAAAAGAGAGACTATTCTTTATTTTTTTTAAATGTTCCAAGTACTGTATATACTCGAATATAAGCCTAGTTTTTGGGCTGAAAACGTCCCCCTCGGCTTATACTCAAGTCAAGGTTATTTATTATTTTAATCTGTTATTATTATTTTCATTTCATTTATTATTTTATTCTATTTATTATTATTACATCTATCATTTTACTCTATTATTATACATTTATTAATTTACTGTATAATTGTTGTTACTGCTACATTAATTATTTTACTCTTTATCATTATTGTTATTATTTCATTTGTTATGTTGCTCTTTTTATTATTATTGGAAGGATACGTAAGCACATTTACATTGAAGAAGGTAAATAATCATTTAATCAGAGTTGGGCAGTCTTAAATTACCATTTTTGTAAATATTCAAAAACATATAACCAACTGATTCCTCAATTAATGTAATTTAATTGGTATATATTTTTATTTTGCAATTTACCAGTAGCTGCTGTATTTCCCACCCTCGGCTTATACTCGGGTCAATCCGTTTTCTCAGTTTTTTGTGGTAAAATTAGGTGCCTTGGCTTATATTCGGGTCGGCTTATACTCGAGTATATACGGTAATTATATTAAGTATTTCTATTCGCCTTGTGGGAATGTGTTGCAACCCAGATCAGGAAACGAGTCCATAAGATTAATCCACCACACTTGACAGTGGGAAAAAACAATCCTTTTTTATTGATGAAAAATGGTTACAAAATAGAGGAAAATACAAAGTTAAAAAGCCACAGTAAAACTCAGCAGTCAGGAATCTCTCAGAACTAGATCAAAATTCCAAAAGCAATACGATAAAAACCTGGAACCTGTTAGCATTTCACTAACCGTACTTGGAAACTAGAAGCCTCTGGGAATGTAGGCCATGGGAAACGGGAAATCTGCCAAGGTATTGCCTCAGTCTAAACGATGCTTGATCTAACGAGACGGCCCGGGGAGAGACACTTAAAACTAAAGAAACTGTTTCGGGACATGCCTCCAGGCTTTGAAGCCTGTGCCTCACTTTCCTTTAATCTGCTTGACCTTTGCAGACTCTGCGATTCACTCCTGTTTTTCCAAATCTGCCCTTTTCTATCCTCATTTAGAAAGACAGGTGCTAGCTCCTCTGGAGAGCTATCACCGCCTGAATCTGAAACATTCTCATCAGGATGTGCAGTTTCCCTTTCCAAGCCACTGACCTCAGAATCAACAGTTTCCAAACCATCAGGGAAAAATACATGTTCAGTAGCCTGTTCAGTTGCATCAGGAAATACAATCAGAGAATCAGTTTCAGGTTCACACGCAGGCTGAACCCCAACAGAATGGGCCTTGACGTTACTGTTTTGCAGTGGCTGCAGTCCTTCCTAGAGGGCTGTTCCCAGAAGGTGTTATTAGGGGGCACCTGCTCGGCCCCACAGCCATTGTCTTGTGGGGTTCCGCAGGGTTCAGTATTGTCCCCCATGTTGTTTAACATCTACATGAAGCTGTTGGGAGAGTTTAGGAGTTTAAGAGTTCAATGTCACCTATATGCAGATGACATCCAACTCTATCACTCCTTTCCACTACTACTAAGGAGGCTGTTCAGATCCTGAGCCGATGTTTGGCAGCTGTGTTATGAATAACTTTCCTACATTGGAAAAGAATATCCCACTTCTGACACCAATGTCATGAATAACTTTTCAATAACTTTAAAATATAGGTTCTTTTTATTGCAGTTTCCAGTGTGAGAGGGTATATCAGATTACAGAAAAACATCATTTATTTATTTATTTACAGTATTTATATTCCACCCTTCTCACCCCGCAGGGGACTCAGGGCGGATTACAATGAACACATATATATGGCAAACATTATTGTTATTATTATTATTATTAACTTTATTTGTACCCCGCTAACATCTCCCAAAGGACTCGGTGCAGCTTACAAAGCCCAAGGCCCTCAATAAAACAACAGCATAACAAATACAACAATAAAACTCATAAAGCAAACCAATAAACATTAAAGCAACAACAGTAAAACATTAAAACAATACATCATGACACAATTTTGACATACAACGTATACAGACATACACAGAGGCTATTTAACTTTTCTGGCCACCAGGGGAGCTGTCGCTTTCATCGTCCATCTGCGACACTGATGAAGTACTTCTGCATTCCCCGCATGCTTTTGCTGGAGTGCTTTGCTGAAGTCTTTTTTATGGCCTCATACATTCGTTAATTTAGCCTCCCCACACAAGGTGGTACCTAATTTTCCTACTTGACAGATGCAACTGTCTTTCGGGTTGCAAAGGTCGACAACAGGCTACACAATTGGTTGGAAGCCCACTCCAACCCGGGCTGGCTTCGAACTCATGACCTTTTGGTCAGAGTGATCTTAATGCAGCTGACACTCAATCCCTAATGACAAAGAATGACATTAGACATACAAATATTTAGATTCTATGCAACTACATTCGATTCACAATTACATTGGACTAATAAACAGACAAAGGGAAATTACATTTTTACTCAGCATTCACACCACATGTACACGTATTCATCCTCAGGCATTCAAATATTACCATATCCTTTTCTCCCTCCTTGGAGAGGCACCTGTTAGGCCAGACACTACTTCCCTGCAGCCTGCCAACACATAGTTCCAAACCTGCCATAACTTCAAAACTCCAAAATGCATCCTTTCCCTAAGCACAATGCCAAGGACCAGATCTCTGTTTCCCATACAGCAGAACCTGACTCCCTGCACAAAATCTAAGACTCCAAAAGCGCACTTCTTCCTCTTCCCTTGAGAAAGAAGCCCCAAAGTGACCAGACTGGTCCCTTGCAAATCTGCCACTCCATGGTACACTATCTCCCTCCTTTCCATTGAGCAGAGCAAAGCAGGTGGAGCAGACTCCTCAGGTCTGCCACACTTTGAGCATTATTAGATTGAGTCTTTTATAGAAATATTCTGTTGATGTAGTCCCAAAGTTGTAAATTAATGATAGATGTCTTCCATCCTGGATCCATTTCAGTTTCCTGGCCAGATGTTGATCTTTTTGATTGGTGTTGATCTTATGTTGACTTCCTTCTTAACATTGTAAACATTTATGTTATCACTGTCCCAATTCTTATCAGAGTTTACTACTTAAACCTCATTAGCAACTTTTAATTACAGTCCAGCAAGCAGGTAGTTAGTCATTGTAGGCCTGGGTCTTTTACTGGTATTTCCAAAATTATTAGCTCCATCCATACATACAGGTAATTAGTTATTGCAGGCCTTAATATTTTACTGGTAATTCCAAAATTATTAGTTCCATCCATACATTCATCTTACATTCTTCCATTCATTACCACACATCATATTAAATCCACATTTATAAAATCTGCACATTAAATTTTTTGATAACTGTGATGGTCTGGATGAGGGCGAACAAGTTGAAACTGAATCCAGACAAGACAGAGGTCCTCCTGTCAGTTGAAAGGCCAAACAGAGTATCGGATTACAGCCAGTGCCGGACAGGGTTTCACTCCCCTGAAGACACAGGTTTGTGTCTTGGGTGTGATCCTGGACTCATCGCTGAGCCTGGAACCCTAGGTTTTGAAAGTAACTGTGGGAGGATTTGCACAATTACAGTTTGTGCCCCTACCTTGGTAAGTCAGACTTGGCCACGGTAGTCCATGCTCTGGTTTCATCCTGTATAGACTACTGCAATGCACTCTATATGGGATTGCCTTTGAAGACTGTACGGAAGTTTCAAATGGTCCAACGGGCAGCAGTCAGGCTGCTCACTGGAACGGCGTTCAAGGAGCATACAACTCCCTTATTACGCCAGTTCCATTGGCTGCCAGTTTGCTACCAAGCACAATTCAAAGTGCTGGCTTTAGCCTATAAAGCCTTCAACGGTTCCAGCCCAGCTTACCTTTGCGAACAAATCTCCCTCCATGAACCATCTAGGAGGGTAAGATCATCTCGGGAGGCCCTGCTCTCGGTCCCACTTCCTTCGAAGGGGAACCAAGAGACAGGGCTTTCGTAGTGGTTGCCCCTTGGCTGTGAAACGCCCTCCCCAGGGATATTAGATCAGCCCCCTCCCTCTTGACCTTCTGGAAAAAAAGTGAAAACATGGCTATTTGAACAAGCCTTTGGGATCTAATGCAACAGTCAAACATGGAATTAGATGAACTTGAACATTGGAACGATTCAGACAACGATTATTGGACAATGAGTCTAACAATGAAAGCAGTGGTTTGATATGCTTTATTGAATGCATTTTTAATTATGTGAATTGTATATTGTTAGGCATCGAATGGCTACCTTGTTGTAAGCTGCCTTCGGGTTCAAGAAAGGCGAGATAGAAATACCGTAAATAAGCCAATAAATGTGTGTGTGTGTGTGTGTGGTTTTTTTGTTTGTTTATAAATAATTTTTATTGAAATTTTCAAATAAGTACATAAAAATAAAAATGATAATAATAAAAAAGAATAATAATAGTTTTTTAAAAGCCTTAATTTCTAGTTGTTGTTGTTGTTTATTTGTTCAGTCGCTTCCAACTCTTTGTGACCTCATGGACCAGCCCACGCGTGAGCTTCCTGTCAGCCGTCACCACCCCCAGCTCCTTCAGAGTCAAGCCAATCATTAATTTGTTATTTGTTCAGTCACTTCCAACTTTTTGTGACCTCATGGACCAGCCCACACCAGAGCTCCCTGTCAGCCGTCACCACCCCCAGCTCCTTCAAGGTCAAGCAAGTCACTTCAAAGATCCCATCCATCCATCTTGTCCTTGGTTGGCCCCCCTCTTCCTTTTTCCTTCCTTTTTCCCCAGCATAATTGTCTTCTCTAAGCTTTCTTGTCTTCTCATTATGTGGCCAAAGTACTTCATCTCTATTTCGGGCTAATAAGCGTTTGGGCTAATAAGCGTGTGTGTGGGAGCCCCCGGTGGCGCAGTGGGTTAAAGCACTGAGCTGCTGAACTTGTTGATCGAAAGGTCGCAGGTTCGATTCCGGGGAGCGGCGTGAGCTTCCGCTGTCAGCCCTAGCTTCTGCCAACCTAGCAGTTCGAAAACATGCAAATGTGAGTAGAACAATAAGTACTGCTCTGGCGGGAAGGTAACGGCGCTCCATGCAGTCATGCCTGGCCACATGACCTTGGATGTGTCTACGGACAATGCTGGCTCTTGGCTTAGAAATGGAGATGAGCACCACACCCCAGAGTCAGACATGACTAGACTTAATGTCAGGGGACTACCTTTACCTTTACCTTTTAAGCGTGTGTGTTTTGATTTGACACCTAAAAAAGGGGGAAGAGGGACTCTAAGTTCGGAAGCCCCGCCCCTTTCCTTGAGGCTCCGCCCCCTTTCCTATCTCCGCCCTGCATGGCCCCGCCCCTCGCCTCTGATTGGGATATAGCTGTGAGGCTCCGCCCTCTTTCCCTTCTGAGGCTGTTGAGGGGCGTTCCTTTATCCTCCGTGGCCCCGCCCCTAGCCTCTGATTGTGTAGTTGCGAGGCTCCGCCCCTTTCCCCACTTTTGAGGCTGTTGAGGGGCGTTCCCTTCGCGCTGCATGCCCCGCCCCTCGTCTCTGATTGGCGCATGGCTGTGAGGCCCCGCCCTCTTTCCAAATTTACCATTGCTGATTGGAGTGTTTAAATCTCGGCGGGGCGGAACCAACGAGCTTGTGCAGCTGTCATGTCTGCCTGGCCTGGGAGCCTCCGCTTCGGAGGGAGCGACAGAGAAAGAGCGAAAGGAAGGCCAAGGCCGGGGCGGGGCTGCTCTGCGGAGGAGGATGCCGCCGCAGGTAAGTGCGAGGGCGCTCCAGAGCATGTGCAGAGCGCCTGCATTGGTTTTCGGGGGAGGATGGGCCTTGGAGCCCTGACCTGCCCTTGGTCTCTTCCGCAGCGGATCGGAGGCGGCGCCTGGAGGCGTTCCTGGCCCAGAAAGGGAGGCCCAGGCCGGCGGGAGGCAGGTGAGCAAGGAGGGACCCAGCAAGGCCTCTGATTGGAGGGAAATGGGTTTGTTTCTTGGCCAAGATCAGGGGTCCCCAAACTTTTTGAACAGAGGGCCGGGTCACAGTCCCGCAAACTGTTGGAGGGCCGGATTATAATTTGAAAAAAAAAATATGAATGAATTCCTATGCACTCTGCACATATATTATTTGCAGTGCAACCCCCCCCCCCAAAAAAAATCAAAAAACAAAGACCCAGACTTTTAAACAGAGACTGGATGTCCATCTGTCAGGGGTGATTTGAATGCAATATTCCTGCTTCTTGGCAGGGGGTTGGACTGGATGGCCCATGAGGTCTCTTCCAACTCTTTGATTCTATGATTCTATGAAAAATGTAATGTTAGTTTGTGGGATTAACAGAACTCAAAAACCACTGGACGAATTGACACCAATTCTGGACACAAGACACCTAACAACCCAATGTATGTCCTTCACTCAAAAAAATTGATATTATCATCTGGGAGTTGTAGTTGCTGGGATTTATAGTTCTGCTACAATCACAGAGCATTTTGAACCCCACCAACGATGGAATTGAACCAAGCTTGGCACACATTTCTCCCATGACCAACAGAAATTACTGGAAGGGTTTGGTGGGCAGTGTCCTTTGGTTTTGGAGTTGTAGTTCACCTACATCCAGAGAGCACTGTGGACTCAAACAATGATGGATCTGGACCAAACTCTACACGAATACTCAATATGCCCAAATGTGAACACTGGTGGAGTTTGGGGAAAATAGAATCTTGACATTTGGGAGTTGCTGGGATTTATAGTTCACCTACAATCAAAGAGCATTCTGAACCCCATTAACGGTGGAATTGAACCAAACTTGGCACACAGTTCTCCCATGACCAACAGAAATTACTGGAAGGGTTTGGTGGGCAGTGTCCATTGGTTTTGGAGTTGTAGTTCACTTGCCTCCATAAATCACTGTGGACTCAATGATAGATCTGGACCAAACTTGGCACTGATATTCAATATGTCCAAATGTGAACACTGGTGGCGTTTGGAGGTTGTATTTGCTGGGATTTATAGTTCAATCAAAGAGCATTCTGAACTCCACCAATGATGGAATTGAACCAGTCTTGGTACACAGAACTCCCATGAACAACAGAAAATACTGGGTTTAGTGAGCATTGACCTTGAGTTTTGGAGTTGTAGTTCACCTGCCTTCGCCATGCCGGCGTTCCCTGGCCGCGCCCACCCAGCGCCACTCCGTCAATTGCGGACACCCTCTGCTCCGGCCTGCTCTGCTCTGCAGAGGACCCACCTGGGAGGCTTCTCCCTCCCACACAGGCAGAGCGGCCGGAGCAGAGGGTGTCCGCAATTGGCGGAGCGGCGCCGGGTGGGCGTGGCCAGGCCGCACGGGCCAGAGAAATGCTCTCGACGGGCCACATATGGCCCACGGGCCGTAGTTTGGGGACCCCTGGCGTAGATCATTCCCTTTCACTTGAATTTGGAACATTATTATATAATATTGTTATATTATTATATTGTGTTATTATTCTCTTGTATTATATTATAGCATTGTTATTTGTTTATTTATTGACAGTATTTATATTCCGCCTTTCTCATCCACAGGCAAATATTCAATGCCAATTAGACACACAACATATAGAGACAGACACAGAGGCAATTTAACATTCCAGCTTTTCCGCTTCATGAAGCTATGCTCAATTCCGGCCACAGGGGGAGCTGCTGCTTCACCGTCCACTTGTGACACCTCTATGGAGTACTTCCTCATTCTTCTGCACACTGCTGGAAGATTTTATGGCATCGTAAATTAGTTAAATTAGCTTCCCCGCATAAAACGGTACCTAAATTTCTACCTTGACAGATGCAACTGTCTTTTGGGCTGCATAAGTCAACAGCAAGCTAGATTATTAATGGTCAGGAGCTCACTCTGACCCGGGCTGGCTTCGCACTCACAACCTCTCGGTCAGTAGTGATTTAATGCAGCGGCTCCCAGCTAGCTGCAACACAATCCAGTCCTATGCACAAGTATGCGGGCTATCAATATTACCTATATAAATAAAAATGTAATGTTCGGATTAACATAACTCAAAAACCACTGGACGAATTGACATGAAATTTGGACACTACACCCCTAAGAGACCAACGAGTGACCATCACTCACAACCACCACCACCCCCCAAAAAAAATAGTTGGACTTAAAAACTCAAAAAAAGCTAAATGGCGATACAGAAAAAAATGGAAGAGAGAGGGAAGGAAGGGGAGAAAGAAATAAAGGAAGGAAGGAAGGAAGGAAGGAAGGAAGGAAGGAAGGAAGGAAGGAGAAAAAGAGGGGTGGGAGAAGGAAAGAGAGAAAGAAGCATGGGAAAAAAGAGCAAAGGAAGGGTGAACTATAACTCCCATGCAGGTAGATCGGTCCCCTCACAAACATTTGCAGTATGTTCTGTTTGTCACCACAGTTCTGTGTGCCATGTTTAGTCCAGATCCGTCATTGGTATATTTGAGTGCTCTGTGTGCAGGGTGAACTACAACCCCCACACGGGTGGGTTGGTTCCTCACAAACACCTTTGAGTCTTGGCCAGTTCCTTGGGGCGGGGGGGCTACCAGGGTACCTGGCCCTCCAAACAACTTTTCTCCCCCAAATAGGCCCTACTTGAAGGACAGGACCAATGGGCAGGCCTTGGCATCCTCCAGACCGGGCTCGGTAAGTGGACGCCAAGCAACACTCTTGTGGGTTTTGGGAGGGGGTGTTCCTCCCTTATTTGGGGGCTCCAAATAAGCCCCCAAATAAGTCCAGAGGGTCCAGAGGGAGGGAGACAGGGGTGCATTCAAGCTCTTGAGCCCCTTATTGACCTGCTTGGTTTCCTAGAAGGCTGTTCTCTCTTTCCAGATGGCCAGGACGGAGCGGAGGAAGGCCACTCCAAGCCAACCCAAGGAGGCCCCTGTCAAGAAAGTAGTACTCAGAGCACCCCACCCCACTGCGACAACAAAGCCCCCGACAGCAAGGTCCCACTTTCCCCAGGAGCCCCCTCTTCGCTCAAAGAAGCCCCCCACCCAAAGCCACCCTGAGAAGCCACTCAGGAATGACCACAGCAAAGGAAGGCAGAAGGCAAAAGATGGGAAAGAGAACGCTGGCGTCGGAGTGACCGCAGTCTGGCCAACTCAGAAGAGGGCCGTTTCTGGACCGGTGTTTGGAGACCAAGGCTCTGGTTGCAGTGCATTCAAGCAGCCTGCTCTTTTGGGGGGCAGGGGGGCTCTCTCTGTGAGGGGCAACTCAGCTCTTCCTCTAAAGGAGCACCAGACTCCCCTCTGTCCCCCGGCCCTTCCAGGCAAGAGGCCCCCCACTGATCCAAGGCCCACTCCCGCAAGGAGCCATTCAGCTGCACCCAGAAGCGGAGCCCAGAGGAAGCAAGGCAGCTTCCGGCAACGGCCAAGGACCCCCAACACAAAGCATAGACCCCCAGCTTCTGCAAGCCACACAGCGCCTGCCTGTGGGGGACTCCAAAGCAGCAGGAGAAGGCCCTCCAAACCCAGGCAGCCAGATGTGGGTCCAGGCCAAGAACTCAAGACCCCTTCTGCTCAGGACCGGAGGCAAGTGCGGCAAGTGGCCTTTGCAATTTAACAACAATAACACTACGTAACATGATTTTTATTCCTGGGATATTATTTATTTATATCCCGCTTTATCTCACCATACGGAGACTCAAAGCGGCTCACAATTAAAAATATTATAGTACAACTTAAAATTTAGGGGTTTTTTTGGGGGGGGGGGTTGTCATGTCAGGAGCGACTTGAGAAACTGCAAGTTGCTTCTGGTGTGAGAGAATTGGCCGTCTGCAAAGATGTTGCCCAGCAGACGCCCGGATGTTTTGATGTTTTAACATCCTTGTGGGAGGCTTCTCTCATGTCCCCGCATGAGGAGCTAGAGCTGACAGAGGGAGCTCATCTGCACTCTCTCCGGATTTGAACCTTTAGGTAATTTAGGTAAAGGTAAAGGTAAAGGTTTTCCCCTGACATTAAGTAAGTCCAGTCGTGTCTGACTCTGGGGTGTAGTGCTCATCTCCATTTCTAAGCCAAAAAGCCGGCGTTGTCTGCAGACACCTCCAAGGTCATGTCGCCGGCATGACTGCATGGAGTGCCGTTACCTTCCCGCCAGAGCAGTACCTATTGATCTACTCACATTTGCATGTTTTCGAACTGCTACGTTGGCAGAAGCTGGGGCTGACAGTGGGAGCTCACACCACTCGCTGGATTCGGACCTGCAACCTTTCGGTCAACAAGCTCAGCAGCTCAGTGGTTTAGCCCACTGCGCCACCAAGGGCTCCCTTAAAACTTAAAATTTACTAATATACAATAATAAAACAGTATGATTACATATTATATATTATTATATATTATCAGCAGTATTTTATTTAATTATATATTATCAACAGTATTTTATTTAATATTTTAGTATTATTGCTTTACAATATTATTATATATTATTCTATTGTATTACTATTAGTATTATATTGTATTACAGTATAATATTAATATTATATTAGCATCACATAATATTAATATTATCTCTCTCTCTCTCTCTCTCTCTCTCTCTATATATATATATAAAAATAGCAATTCGAAAACTTGCTAATGTGAGTAGATCAATACGTACCGTACCAGCGGGAAGGTAAAGGCGCTCCATGCAGTCAACGCCATGCAGTCATGCCCATGGCCATATGACCTCAGTGATGTCTACAGACACCGGCCCTTTGGCTTAGAAATGGAGATGAGCACAACCTCCAGAGTCGGACACAATTGGACTTAATATCAGGGGAAAACCTTTACCTTTACCTTTTATTATTATATTGTTCTATACTATTATACTGCAATATATTATATTATATTATATTATATTATATTATATTATATTATATTATATTATAATTACATTATTATATTGTACTGTATCATTATACCACAATATATATATATTACACAGTACCAGTATATTATACTATTAGTACTATGTAATACATTGTGCTATATCATAAGTTGTAGTATATATAATATATAATATAATATATTACATTATTATATATTATACTGTATAATTATTATTATTAGTATTGTTATATTTCAGTATTATTATTTCTATATATTCTCTCACACCAGAAGCAACTTGCAGTTTCTCAAGTCGCTCCTGACAGAAATTTTTTTTTGCATATAATATAATATATAATTATAATAACTTAATTTATACTCTGCCCTATCTCCAAACAAACAAACAAACAAAAAGGCAAACATTCAGTGCCAGTGTATAGAGAATGTGGACTATGGACCATGGGATAAGAGTGAGATTACAATAATGTCACATTCAGGATGCAAAAGACACACTGACACATTATGGGAGCCCATGGCTTGGGCTGGGCCTTCCTCCTTGCCTGCCTGTTTCCTTCCCCTGGGCCTGTGCCTCTCCCCTCTCCCCAGCCTGGATTTCTCTACCTGCCCCTCCGTCCTCCCAGTTCTGCTCCAGAGGGAGACAGGCAGGCTCTATGGAACAACCAGTCCGCGGATCCTAATGGCAGCTCCGGCCTTGATGGGATTACATTGTGATGTGTTTCTTGGACATCCAGCAGATGGCGCTGTTTGGGATGCCAAGCATGTTTTTACCTGTCACAAGTATGACATCTATGTAATAGTAAGTATGCAAATACATAAAAATAGTCACCTGATCGAATGCTATGTTGTGTCCAAATTTGGAAGCAATCGGTGAAGTATTTTGGGAGATTTGAGGTCATTCACAAATGGACATTTACATTTGTATTTATATAGATGATGATGATGATGATGATGATGATGATGATGATGATGATTATTATTTAGTAGTAGTAGTAGAAAAGCCCCAGGTATTAATAATTATAATTATAATGATAATTATAATAGTTATAATAATGTATTGTTGAAGGCTTTCATGGCCGGAATTGCTGGGATATTGTAGGTTTTTTCGGGATATATGGCCATGGTCTAGAGGCATTCTCTCCTGATGTTTCGCCTGCATCGATGCAGGCGAAATGTCAGGAGAGAATGCCTCTACACCATGGCCATATAGCCCGAAAAAACCTACAACAACCCAATAATAATAACAATAACAACAACAACAACAACAACAGAGAAGGCTTTTTTTGTTTTGTTTTGGTGGGTTTTTTTGGAGGGGGGTTGTTTGTTTGCTTGTTTGTTTGGTGTGAGAGAATTGGCCGTCTGCAAGGATGTTGCCCAGGGGACGCCCGGATATTTTGATGTTTTACCATACTTGTGGGAGGCTTCTCTCATGTCCCCACATGGAGAGCTGGAGCTGACAGAAGGAGCTCATCCACGCTCTCCCCAGTGATCATGACACATACCATAGTGCAATCAGTGTATTGAGGGAACAAGAAGGGAAGATGCAACTGGGCAAAGCTTGAAGTGGGGGGCCACCTATGCCTCTTTCCTGGGGGGGGGGAGACCGGAGCCTCCTGTGAGCCCTTTTCCCCTCAGGAACAAAGCAGGGGTCCTTCTTTTGTGTCTCTACTGTCAGCAGACCCTCCTTGTGATGGTGCGCCTTCCTCTGCCTTTTTAGGAAGTTGCTGGAGGACTGGCTGGTGTCCCGAGGAAAATGTTACAAGAGGCCCCCCATGCGCCCCACTGTCCCAAAACCTCCAAAGGCAAAGTCCAGCCTGAACCTCTCCTTCTGGGGCCCCTTGGAGGAGGAGGAAGAGAAGAAGAAGAAGGAAGAGGAAGAGAGAAAAGAGCAGCAGTACCTGGCCAACAAGATCGTGGACACCTTGGCAGAGTGCCGGAAGCTGGCAGAAGAGGCAGGTGTCCGGAGTGGGGAGCTTCTTTCTCACTTGTTGGGGATGTAGCTGGGCAATGGAAGAGAAGGAGACCAGTTTGGCTTGTTTGCCTCCCAGTTCCTTTATAGCAGGCATGGCAGGCCAGTAGGCTGTTAGGAATTGTGGGAGTTGACATCCAAAACACCTGGAGGGAGGGCCCCAGTTGGCCCATGCCTGTTTTATAACCAGGAGTGGGCTACATTTCTCCAGAGATGCGACTGGCAGGAATGAGAGACAGGGCCTTCTCAGCGGTGGCCCCTCAGCTATGGAACAACCTCCCTAGGGATATTAGATCAGCCCCCTCCCTCCTAACATTTTGAAAGAGAGTCAAAACCTGGCTTTTTGAGCAAGCATTTGCAGATGCAGTGTAATAGGCTATTTTAGATCCGTGGAACGATTAGAGGATGGGAAATGATTTTAGTAATGAGATGTTGAGGACTTGTGTTTTATTGTTTTTGTTTTGATTTTATTGTTTTTTATTTGTTTATATTATATGTTAATATTTTAATTATATTTTATGTTATTGGGGGCATTGAATTTTGCCGTTTGTAAACCGCCCTGAGAAAGGGGGTATATAAATATGGTAAATAAATAAATAAACAGCAGGCAGTGGGAAAAGGCAACAGCCTCATGCCAGCTTCTTTGGGCCACTATTGTGCCAACATCATATGAAAGTGTTTGAGATTCAGGCAGTGCAATACCGGCTAAACTGTGTAATTTCTCCGTGATAATACGGCATGTCTCATTTAGAGCCATATCTACTGTTTTAGCGTGGTGAGTTGTGTTCCACACTGGGCATGCATACTCAGCAGCAGAGTAGCATAGCGCAAGGGCAGATGTCTTCACTGTGTCTGGTTGTGATCCCAGGTTGTGCCAGTCAGCTTTCGTATGATATTGTTTCTAGCACCCACTTTTTGCTTGATATTCAGGCAGTGCTTCTTGTAGGTCAGAGCACGGTCCAGAGTGACTCCCAGGTATTTGGGTGCGCTGCAATGCTCCAGTGGGATTCCTTCCCAGGTGATCCTCAGAGCTCGGGATGCTTGTCTGTTCTTGAGATGAAAGGCACATGTCTGTGTTTTAGATGGGTTGGGGATCAGCTAGTTTTCCCTGTAATAGGCAGTAAGAGCACCTAGAGCTTTGGAAAGCTTCTGTTCTACCATCTCAAAGCTCCCTGCTTGAGCAGTAATGGCACGATCATCAGCATAGATGAAACTCTCTGTCCCTTCTGGCAGTGGCTGGTCATTTGTGTAGATGTTGAACATGGATGGAGCAAGCACACTCCCCTGGGGCAGGCCGTTCTTCTGTTTCCGCCATCTGCTTCTCTGGCCCTGGAACTCAACAAAAAAGCTCCTGTTTTGTAGCAGGTTTCCTATGAGGCGGGTGAGGTGGTAGTCCTTGTGATATTATACATTTTTCTCAGGAGGAGGCGGTGGTTCACAGTATCATAAGCTGCTGAGAGGTCTATGAAGACAGCTCCTGTGATCTGCTGCCTTTCAAAGCCATCTTCTATGTGCTGAGTCAGGTTCAGCACTTGCGATGTGCAGCTTTTGCCTTTCCTGAAGCCAACTTGCTGTGGAACCTCCTTGTGGCAACACTAGAGGCACTCCAAGTGGCCAGATACTGGTCAAAGGACATTTAATCAACTACCAAGCTTGCAAACTTTGTGTTTTGTGTGTTTGTTCGTTCTGTTAAAAATGTAATACAACTGTCTGGTTGCTCCTGACACGATAAATAAATAAATATGAAAGTGTGCTCACAGGGATCCCCTTGGGCACCTATTCCAGCCTCCTTACAGCCTTGTGCCCGTTCTGATTTCTTATTTCCTTCTTCTCTCCCTCTTTAGGGTCTCCCTGCTGAGCAGATCCTTGCGACGCTGACCCGCATCCCGCACGTGGAGAAGTTTGCCCAGTTCTGGGTCTGCAAAGCCACACTGGAGGCACGGAGGGGCACCTTGGACGTGACAGGGCTCTACGAAGCTGCCCTCTTTGCCGGGGCCACGGTGAGTGGAGGCCTCGGAGCTCAAAAAACACTCACACAGAGCAGCAGCAGCAACATATAACAGTTTAGAAAGGCAATAGCGAAGCCTCAGAGCACAACAGCAGAGCAAACAAGCTCCAGCAACTCAAGGAGCAGAGTCAAGCTTAAGCTTAGTAAAGGTAAAGGTTTCCACTGACATTAAGTCTAGTTGTGTCCAACTCTGGGAATCTAGTGCTCATCTCCATTTCTAAGCCGAAGAGCCAGCGTTGTCCATAGATATCTCATGTGACCGTCATGACTGCATGGAGCGTCCTTACCTTCCCACTGAAGCAGTACTTTGTATTGTTTTTGTATTATTGCTGTTATTGTTGTTGTGTTGTGGGCTCGGCCTCATGTAAGCCGCACCGAGTCCCTCGGGAGATGGTAGCGGGTTACAAATAAAGTCTTATTATTATTATTATTACTTAATGATCTACTCACACTTGCATGTTTTTGAACTGCTAGGTTGGCAGCAGCTGGGGCTAACAGCGGGAGCTCACTCCTCTCCCCGAATTTTATTTATTTATTTATTTTATTCACGAGATTTATATGCCGCCCTTCTCACCCCGAAGGGGACTCAGAGCGGCTTACAAGTAAAAAGTAAATACAATATATTATATTATTAACATAGCACGATATTAATATTATATATTACATTGTACTATAACATTATACTGTGATATTATTAGTACTATTACATTTAATATAAAATATATAATTACAATATCATATTATTATTATTAGTATTATATTGCATTAAAAGGTAAAGGTTGTCCCCTGACATTATGTCCAGTCATGTCTGACTCTGGGGTGTGGTGCTCATCTCCATTTCTAAGCCAAAGAGCCGGCATTGTCCATAGACACCTCCAAGGTCATGTGGCCGGCATGACTGTATGGAGCGCCCTTACCTTCCCGCTGGAGCGGTATCTATTGATCTACTCACATTTGCATGTTTTCGAACTGTTAGGTTGGCAGAAGCTAGGGCTGACAGCGGAAGCTCACGCTGCTCCCCAAAATCGAACATGCGACCTTTCGGTCAACAAGCTCAGCAGCTCAGCGGTTTAGCCCGCTGCGCTACTGGGGGCTCAATATTGTATTACAGTATAATATTATCAATATTATATTATATTATATTATATTATATTATATTATAAGCACAGTGCAGGAGACAAGATGGAACTGCCTTCCTGGCCCCTCTCTTCATTCTGATCTCATAATTTGAACCACCAACTTTTCAGTCAACAGGTTCTGTCAGAAATATTAAAAATTAACTAGGCATTTTTAATCACAAAAAATGTGAGGGGTTAAATAGGTGCAATAATTAAGCAAAAGTTGTATTTCTATATAAGCAGGTGTGCCTATAGCTTAGTAGCTGTCAGTCTGAGGTAAACCTCAGTGGGAGAAAGATCTCTGCCTGTGAGAAGGCCTCACAGTGTGAGGTAGAATCATAGAATCCTAGAGTTGGAAGAGACTTGGTGAGCCATCTGGTCCAACCCACTACCAAGAAGCAGGGAAATCTTATTCAAAGCACCCCCGACAGATGGTCACCCAGCCTCTTTTTGAAAGCCCCTAAAGAAAGAGCCTTTACCACACTCCGGGGCAGGGAAAGAGTTCCACTGCTGAACAGCTCTCTCTCTCACGGTCAGGAAGCTCTTCCTCATGTTCAGGTGGAATTTCCTTTTCTGTACTTTGAAGCCATTGTTCCATTTCTAACCTGGGGGTCAGGATCTCTGGATGGGGAGGTCACGAGGGGGTGTCAGAGGGCTCTCCAAAGATCACAAGAAAACAAGGTATTTTCTGTTGAGATTCTGTGTTGGAAGTTTGGCCCAATTCTATTGTTGGTGGGGTTCAGAATGCTCTTTGATTGTAGGTGAACTATAAATCCCAACAACTACAACTCCCAAATGTCAAGGTCGATTTTCCCCAAACTCCACCAGTGTTCACACATGGACATATTGAGTATTTGTGCCAAGTTTGGTCCAGATCCATCATTGTTTGAGTCTACAGTGCTCTCTGGATACAGGTGAACTAAAACTCCCAAACTCAAGGTCAATGCCCACCAAACCCTCCCAGTATTTTCTGTTGGTCATGGGAGTTCTGTGTGCCAAGTTTGGTTCAATTCCATCATTGGTGGAGTTCAGAATGCTCATTGATTGTAGGTGAACTATAAATCCCAGCAAGCAAACTTCTTTTACTTGCTGTGATTACTGTTCAAACACTTGGTCCCATAGCCAGGGCTTAAGTTTCCTTCTGAAAGACAGGAGGGAGGTAGCCAATCCGATGTCCCTGAGGCGGGAGTTCCACAGATGGGGGGCCACTGCAGAGAAGGCCTTGTCCCTCGTCTCCACCAGTCACATTTGCGATGGTGGTGGGATCAAGAGCAGGGCCTCTCCAGATGATCTTAAATTTCGTAACAGGAGATACGTTCAGACAGGTAGTTTGGACCAGAACAGTTTAGGGCTTTAAAGGTTAAAACCAGCACTTGAATTGTCCAGAGGAGCGCGACTAAAATGAGCAAAGGTCTGGAGAACAAGCCCTATGAGGAGCGGCTTAAGGAGCTGGGCATGTTTAGCCTGAAGAAGAGAAGGCTGAGAGGAGATATGACAGCCATGTATAAATATGTGAGAGGAAGCCACAGGGAGGAGGGAGCAAGCTTGTTTTCTGCTTCCTTGGAGACTAGGACGCGGAACAATGGCTTCAAACTACAAGAGAGGAGATTCCATCTGAACACGAGGAAGAACTTCCTGACTGTGAGAGCCGTTCAGCAGTGGAACTCTCTGCCCTGGATTGTGGTGGAGGCTCCTTCTTTGGAAGCTTTTAAACAGAGGCTGGATGGCCATCTGTCAGGGGTGATTTGAATGCAATATTCCTGCTTCTTGGCAGGGGGTTGGACTGGATGGCCCAGGAGGTCTCTTCCAACTCTTTGATTCTATGATCTATGATTCTATGTGCTTGGAAGCTGATCAACAGCCAGTGGAGCTGGCGTAACAGAGGAACTGTGTGCTCCCTGTGCACTGCTACAGTGAGCAACCTGGCTACTGACTGTTGGACTAATTGAAGCTTCTGGGCAGTCTTCAGAGGCAGCCCCACATAGAGTGTGTTGCAGTAGTCTATTCGGAATAAAGGGATTCTTTGTAGTGGCGGTGGGGTTCGCAGGAAAAGGGTGAGGATGAGTCACCGCCCGGCAGCTCAACCCATACAACCTGGAGTTACTAAGGGCTAGTTTCTTATTCTTCCTCTTGTTGCAGCCACTGCAGGAGCTGCAAGACGCCATCGCGTGTATTTTGAAGCATGTCAGTGTGCCATCCAGGGGTGAGTGTGCCATGGGGGCCTTTTGAATGACAGAGTCCGTACCTGTGAGCCCCTCTGTAGTGTGTTTCTCTTCTGCCTCTGCAGCCAGCCCTGTCCCAAAGAAGGAAGAAGAGAATGCGGACCCTCTTCAGAGCCCACTGCAAAGCCCATCATGGGCTAAACCCTGCTCGGCTATCAAGCTCCAGGTTCTTTCCCTGCCCAGGTAAGAGCCTCACGCGTACACAAAGCTTGGCCTTTGCTCCCTTATTTCCCCAATGAGATGCGATAATCTTCCTTGATGCTCTTGGTCTGCTTGAGGAAGGGAGGGAGGAAGGAAAGAAGGAAGGAAGGGGTGTGTGTGAGAGAAAGGAAGGGATGGACCTCTTCGCTTTCTGCCTTCCAGGTCCAGCAAGCGACTCCCCCGGCCAGAGGTGAGGCTCCTGACCCCTGTGCGGCGCTCCCTGCGCATTGAGGGTGCCACCGCTTCCTACCCACAGATGCTGAGGGACCACGACCCCGTTGTCTCCTCCCTAGATGAAATTGTGGCTGCAGAACATGGGAGCCAGTTCCTCTTCCGCAGCAACGCAGCTCTGCC